AGACTGTCCCCTGGTCTCTTGTCTCTGGGGATCATGTCAGAGCCACTCTTCTGGGGGTCAGCCAGCCCCAGCAGCATCCCCCCAGATAGTGGGATCCATGTGTCACAGTCTCCCTGCAGTGACAAACCAAAAAGACACCTTCCACTCTCTCTTCCAGAAGGAAATTTTAGAACAGAAAGATCAAACGCTTTCTTAAAAGTTTCCTTGAAAGATAAACTCCATGATTGGGGTGTAGCTCAGTGGTAGAAGACTCACCCTGCCTCAGGGACCTAGTTCTACCCCTAGCATTTCAAAATAGTAAAAATTTACAACTCCAGCCCTGATCACCTCAGGGTGATCAGGATTAGAAACTCTTGCGCTTTTCTTGACTTTTTCTATTGCACAGTTTAAACGGGTAATGAACACGTATCACTTCACACCACAAATGCAAATATTATTAGTTGGAATCTCCTTGGCCATTTCTCCACTCAGCAAGTGTCTATTTTAAGACAAACGTGGCTTTAAAATTTCTAAAAGATCATTGTGTCTCTCAACCACTGTGAAGTCTTTCTGTTTCCTCCTGTGCAAACGGGGCTGGCCCCTGCCTTATTTGGAGGCACAAAACTCTGAACTCTTACTGAAAGTAACACCCCAGGGGATGTCACAGGCCTGCGGGAGGTTGAGGCTGGGTCCCCAGCCCACAGACCATTTGGCCTGTGTTCACACGCCTACACTGGACTGGCACAAGTGGGAGTCTGACCCGAAAATACCACTGATCTGCCTCCTTCAACTTTCAAAAACCACCCGTGGAATCAAGGGACACCTTCCCTCGGTTTCGCGGTTGGTGGTGGTTTTCGCAGGGGTCCACCTAGCCCCAGAGTGAAGCCCAGAATGCCCCCCCATTACTGGGAAAGTCACACCAAAGAGGCCTCTTCGAGGAAGGACCCTCCCCGCCAGGCTTCCGCAGGGCACCAGCAAGCAACTTTCACAGGATAGAAACCTCCTTGAAGGCCGGGCATTTAGCTCAGTGGTGCTGCTGCCTGCTCCGCAATTGCAAGGTCCTGAGTTCTTTCCCTGAGCCGGGCGTGGCGTCGCACATCTGCTATCCCTCCTAAGGACGCTGAGACGGGAGGATTTCAAGTTTGACTTCTGCCTAGGCAGTGTAGGTAGATCCTGTCTCAAAAATTAAAAGGTTAGATTTAAATTTCAAAGGAGCGGGAGGGCGGGGAGGGATGGGCCTCAGTGGTACAGTGCTGTCCTAGCAGGCTCAGGACCCCAGGCTCAATGGGGGGGGGGGTCCTCCTGGAACAGCCACACCCACTAGCACACTCAGGAAATGTTCTTCACATTTCCCTTTATTGCAGTCGTTTTGGTTTAAAATTAAAACTTTCTCTAAAATTCTCTAAAACGGTCCTTTACAATCCCCCCGCCCCCAGTGGTGTCTCAAACGCCTCTCCTCACAACCAAAACATATGGCTCTTAATCCTCAGCTCCGCCTTTAAAATACAAAATCCGTCTAAGCAAAGCCTTCGGCCCTGCCTCTCCCTGCCTAGGGAGACCCAGGGTCTTGCTCTCAGACTCAGGGTTTAGAAGGAGACAGGTATCCCAGACGTGGGGCTCAGACCTGTCCGTGGCTCTCGCTTTGTTGGGGAACCCCTTGCTTCGTGTGCCGGGACCGCTGAGCTGGCGCAGTCAGCGAGGAGCGCGGGGCCCCGTCCCCCAGCTGCCTCGGGGAGCCCTTTCCTCCCGCAGCCCCTCTGAGGGGCTCCC